TAATAAATAAGAAACCTTTGACATGTTTTTTTTTTTCAAAGATGATATTAGATGATCGTATGTTTTTACCTATTAAAATAGGTAAAAACATACGATCATCTAATATCATCTTTGAAAAAAAAAAACATGTCAAAGGTTTCTTATTTATTACTCGCCCGACAGCGGCGTCTGTCACTCAGCTCGTAGATTTTGCTTTTGTGGCTTTTGGGTCTCGCGAACCAAAATTGTGAGGTTGCTCTTTGCGTTTGTATGTGATTATACCTTGAAAAGTTGTTGTCCTTAGAATGATTCGAATAAATCCCGAATCTCCCTGTCACTTCACGCGATGGAGCCGCTAGAATAACTCCCATGCATCCTATGAACTTTGTTGTGATTCTTGGCGTGCCGAGATGTATTGAAATTTCCCAATTATGATCGTCAATATTATTGAAACTGAAAAAATTTCATTGCCTAGACATTGTTTGGTCATATAGTAGTTAAGGAATCGAATGAAACATTATATATTTTCTGAATAAACCAAATAAACCCAGTTTTACGAACATGGTACATACCTAAGCCACCAATGTTTTGGTTTGGGTTGAATGCATGACGTCATACGTTACTCGTGCCAGTCTTCTAGAGCCGAATTCTTGTAACAAGAAATTAATGGAGGACGAAAATAAATCGTACAATTTTGGCTCTTTCCTTTCGAATATCAGAAAGATATTTCAGTGAGTGGTTCTTAATGTATTCAAGATTATTTCAGCAAAGGTCCAGCTCGAATGAAAGAGTTTTAATTTTGGAGTGATTTTCGTCCAAGTAGCACTTTAAAATGCATAGAGAGGCGAAATTACTTTTTAAAATAATTTTGCGCTTTGGTGTTTTGCATATCGCTCCAACTTCCAAAGAATTCAAATGTTCTTTAGATGTGTTTCACAAACACCCTGGCAGGTGTGCTGTCTATAAATTTTCCAATATTTGCTTCTTTGGCATTTCACAATCTCTTACTTGAAACAATAGAATTCAATTCGTATCAGTAAAAAGGTCTTTTGCTTTCATACCTGTTGGGTTGCTGAGTTCAGTAATTGCTTTCTCTGTCTTTTCCAGAAGTGGGATATCAAAATTGTGTCCCCCAATAGTGTTGTCAAGGTCCATAATTTTTGCTATCATGTCGATGCGAGCTGCGCCCAAAACGAAAAAGGACTCAATTTCCGCTTTAAGACTGGCAACGTCACGAGGTTTAGTAGCCTCATCCAGCAGGCATACCAAGTCAGCAGCAAACTGTTCTTTATTCATCTCTAGTTTGGCCTTAATGGAAACAAAATGTAACAAGAATAAATGTAAAAATGTGGAAAAAATATTTAAAARAATAATCACATATGGTTAAAATTGAAATGATTATAATAAATGTAATTGCGCTTGAAAAAGTAAAACCAGAAGTATGGTTTGCATATATTTTTGTGTTTTGTAATAAAACGGAAATCAAAATGGCGGAACTAAGATGGCGTTCATTGGGAATCATAAAGTAGTAATATGATCTTTTTAAATTCGTTGCTTGTTGCGCACCTTTCGGACCAAGTGATGCAACTCTTGGGAGTTGATTTTTTTAAATATTTAAATGTGATCAGGATTGCTTAAGATGAGAGATGAATCTCTCAAACATGTTGAAATAAAATTAACTGTAGGTATGAAATACCGGTTGAATAGCGTCGCTTCGTTTTTAAACTTTAAATGTAAATGATTTAACATGTTCGTCATAAAAGAACAACTATCCAACAAAGCTAAAAAGGTCCATTCCTATATCGCATTACTTTTTCGCGTCCTGTGACCACAGGTAGCCCAAGCTTGGTTTCTGTGGTTTCCTGTTATAAGGAAATTGTATGGGTATTCATCAAAACTTTCAATAAAATCATTGAAACGTGAAATAAAGCCTCAAAATTTTACCCGATCATTTCTTGAATTTAGCCCGTTTTAAGACACGCAGAGCGAAAGAAGTGCTATTTCTCAATGATCGGGTAAAATTGCGAGGCTTTATTTCACGTTTCAATGATTTTATTGAAAGTTTTGATGAATCCCCATACATTTCCTTATAACAGGACACCACAGAAACTAAGCTTGGGCTACCTGTGCTGTGACATGCTTTATTGTGACAATTTGGATAAACCACAGACACTCAAACTTTCACTGGCAGAGCTTAAAATTCCTATTAAAAAATGTTCGACAGGAAGGGAAATAAGTTTGACTTCTGGTCACAGCACCTTGATTTTCACAAAAAAAATTATCGATTATCGTCAATCCGGCATTAACGATATATGAGCTCACTTTTTGAGCCTTCCAGTAGCTGGCTTACTGTAAAGCAACATTATTTATAATTAATTATATTTTACCGCCAGGCTATGCCACTGTAGTGGAACTCACACTTTTACACGTGCGAGTGCTAGGTGACCCTTAGAAATTCCATGAAACGGATCAGTATAATAAAAAACATTGCAAGGTACTTACCTTCATCATATCAGGAACTGAGCTAACATTAACTTTGTCAAAGTCCAATTCACTGGAATCGGTCAGAGGCACGTGTTTCCCAAAAGTCAGCCATTCCTTGACACTTCCAATAACGGAATCAAGAGATGTAAGACAAGCTTTGTTTGCATCGTACTCGGCAATTGTAATAGCTGTCTTAATGGAGTCGAATGGACCTTCGGCGGAAAGAAAACCTGTCATACCCGTAAGCACTGCAAAAAATTGTTGTTTGCTTAACCTATTTGTCGCTGTTTGTTGAGCCTCCCTCAATGACGAGGAAATTTTTACTATGGTATTTTCCATCTGTGTTTGTGTTTCTCGGATGGCCTGCAGAAACAAAATTAAAAAAATAAGTGTTAAGGTAAAGTAAAATATTTTTTTCCGGAGATAAGGTTGGCTATCATTTTGTTGCATCTCCGCTTTGTTCCTGTTCTCCGACCCCGTCCCCTCTAATAAACAGTGCGCTTTCTCGCGTTTACGGCATCGACATTTACACTTTATTTCACGTGAAGATATACAAGCAGATCTATATCCTTTGTTGAGAAGCAGCTCAAAAAATTTGAAACTGCTATAATGGTCGTATTGTTCGAGTGATCTTTAAAATATCTTAATTTTACTGAAAACTTGCTAACCGCTGAGTTAAGAGCAATTGGAGGCATGCGCAGTTGTCACTAGAATCTAAACCATCCCTCGACATCCCGTTAGTATGCAACCAGGGCTTCCAAATTTTCTTGAAAGTTAAGGAGGCACTGGGAATGAGTATGTAGGCATCACTACAGAGGAAAGAGCTGACCGACAAGAGCGATGTGAGTGGTCGAAAGGAGTAAACTTAAATGATCAACTACCAATTTGAGAGCTTTTAGGTTTGACGTCACTTCGTATGCTACGTCATAGCGGCCATGTTGACTATACAAAACATTCCTCATTAAGCTTCTATTTTTAAATCAACCAAGATGGCTGTTGTGTCATTGTTATTTATATCTCAAGGGATTTTTTGGTCATGTGGTTGCATTCCAAGAATAGGGCCCTTGCTTTCGGGACACATAAAAAATGGTAAATATACGCTAAATACTGTACCGTCATATACATCCTTTTCTCGCTTTCGTCTATGGTTCTTGCCGCACATAGTCGTCCTTTCTGTGCATTTACTTGTTGAGACGCTGCTGAGGTCATTACAGTCGCTATCTGCAAAGAAACCACCATTGAAGATAAAATTACAACCAGTCTTTTCAAATAGATGTCATTCATAAAAGCTAAAATGATACCCAATGATACCCACTAGTAGTATAGGGAATGGGGGTTCCAGCGCAATCTCAACACGGGGTAAGACCCGCGTCAAAAATCCACCTACGGACGACCCCCACTCCAAGTGTGGTTGAGGGCAACAGCGCAAATATGTTAGTCTATATATGGAGTGCGAAGATTGTAAAGAGTTTGCTTATGATTTCTGTGTAA